TTCAATCAATAAACTGATATTTAGTAATAGATTTAATTTACCTACATATTCTTATACTATTAATAAAAGTTCTCTTTTAAAACGTTTTGTATAAAAAAACATCGTAATTGTATCTACCTGTAGCTTATCCTTATAGATCTATGCAAATGAAAAACGTAAACAATAAATAATATCTTCGTTTTAGTCTAGCTGCTCTCCACTTTCAATGATAGTGACTCTCATAAATATTCCCGCACTTGAGAATACAATCATGGCAACGCGACGATTGTCCGATATCTAAAAACGATCGAGGAAGAATCCCAATAAATGAAAGCGTCAGGTTGATCAATCCTCGGCGTGGATTCGAACAATACCGCTGGCAATTCCGGCCAATTATACCGGTAATACGACAGGACGAAATTGCACGACAAACAAATTGTCGGCGACGAAATCGCTCGGCGAATAATTCTGAAGCGCAACGTTTCACTTCGAGCGCATCACGGAGAATTGCGGAAGCGCCGGAATGCGCGTCGCGGAAAATTAAATGTCAAATTAATGCGGACGATAAATTCGCCGGGCGAACGAGCGACGCGCGGACGTACGTACGGCAAGGCCAGCAAATTTACAGCGCATTATCTGGAATTTAATTCGACGACATATAAACGCGTGAAGTACGACCGATAAGACCGTAGGAGAGGAGTGGCCAAGATCCTCCCGAAAGCGAAGGATCGCCGCGAGAGATAACAAAATCGGCCGCGTTTATTTTACGAGTATTAAATCCTGGCGCGAATAAAACTGCTCTTACTTAGGCGCCGATGAATTTGCTGACGCTCCATCAAGTGTTTTTTTTCAATACTCTCGCAGTTTTTCTACCATAAAAGAGATCGAATATCAATTTTAGTACCGAATAACAATCCTATACTCGATATCGCGTCGTTATCAGCGCGTAAAGTTGCGCTGCATTTTAATATGGTGTCTATTGTCGTTGCAGAACAGTGAAGCGATGAAATGTCAAGCCGATCTCGACGTCAACGAAACCTTCTCGAAAACAGCTTTGTTACTCGAGACCTCTATCCATGATCCGTTCTAACAGCCAAAGGTATAAGAAAGTAAATTTAACATCAAATCATAATAATGAGACAGCTGCTGTGTGTATCGTATTTCGAAATAATAATAAAAATATTAAATTCATTTTCCAATCAAAACGAAGATAAACCTTGTTTTTCAAATTTCAATTTAACATTAAGCTTAATAATTTTAAACAAAATAAATTAATCAATTATTGAAATTTTTACTTAAAAAAGATATAATTTGCATATATATATATATATATATATATATATATATATATAATAATTGAAACTTGTTTCTTGTAAGCTTCTTGCTGATGTTAATGTCAGCTGATTGTGTGGTGTACGTAATACTCTTGAGAAGAAAACAAAAGACAAAATTGTAAAACCGTCGCGTACGTGTCCTGTTGTCAGTAATGTATGACAGTAATATAAATAAATCGTTTAACAAAATAAATTTTTAATACCCACCCTTTCTCTTGGAATGACTGAGTTTTAGTCTCTGTACGAATTCCAATAATAGCGTACTAAAAATAAATTTTCCGATTATGCAAATCGGCAGAACGGAATACTAAAGCCCGCTGGTGTTTTCAGATTAAACTTTCGTGTCGGAATAATGAAGCATCTAAACTCGAAATTCGAGTTTCTCATTTTCTAAATCCATGGCAAGCGAATTTATTACAAGTTTATAATAAAGCAATAATTGGTAGTTAATTTGTTACACAGAAGCACGTAAATTCGCTTGTTATTACATTAGTTTCAGATTCATTCTGTGATATATCTCGCCCTCTCGTAGCGCAATAAAATAAGGTTGTATATTTCAGAACGCATCTCGCGCTGCATATAAAACAAGATGTTATCAAAACGACCAATATATCGCAAGGACACATATAATATTTCGGTACAATTTCGAGACCGGATACAACTTACATATTCCACTCGTATATCGTTCATTTTTTTTAAACTACAACATATCACGCCCCAATATTGTTGCGCAACGAAGATTTATGCATCTTCAAATAAAGGATGAATTGGCAACTTATCTGCTTAAAGTGTCAAACTTTCAAGAAGAACTTCAAGGAGCACCTCGAGAATCTGCGAAACTTTTGTAAAATGTCTGTATAAAGTCAAGGGGCAAACGAAACTCACGATACCTTGACTCGAATGCATTTCACGTCGAAAGCTCAAGATAATATTCAGCGTGGACGATGCGAGTGCAATTGATGCGTCGTGGAATGCAAATCCGTATCAATTATATCGCGATTATCGTTATTGCGATGCGGCAAATACAGCACATTTTAATTCTGTGGGCAAGCATTCAGCAAATCGCTTCGTCGGCCGCACTTCCCCAAAACATGGTCGACTGAATTCAAAGCAGGATTTCACCTCCGGCGGCCGGCGTATCGATCGATCTGGGAAATATTCGCTAAGAAATCGCTCTGGCCCAACCGACCGTAACTGTTCACGCGATGCCGGAAACTGCATAAGCAAGAAGAGCGAGGAATTATCGAGGAGAGAAAGTCATGGACGACTAAACACAGATACAATCGAACGAGGAATAGCGGGAAAGCGTCGAAAAAGGGGGCGACCCGGAGGAAATAGCGAACGAAAAGCCAAGGGCTGCACTGGGCAACTATAGCTGCAGTCACGGTCGATGTGGTCGTTGCAGCCAGTCGACAACGAGCATTGTTGAGACATGTGGGTCAACCCGTGCTGCACTTCCGGTGACGACACACCGACATAACGACGAGTGAAACGACAGAGAGAGATAGAGAGAAAGAGGGAAAGACAAAGAGAGACAAAGCGGGGGCAAACAGCTGTAAAAGCAAGGTGCCATAATACGAATGGAAGCAAGACGAGATTCGAAACTACAAGAGGAGGTTGTGTCAACACCTTAAGGTCTAAAAGGCGCGACCCATCGCCTTTAACGTTTCGCCGGGAGCTAAATGACCAGTTTGAGGATTCTCGTTAAGGATAACGTCTTAACCCTCGTAATTGCGTAACTGCATACAATTTGAACTGCTATTCCCTCGCCGGGAGTCCCGACACGATGCATCGTGTAATGAAGGAGACTATATGTAATCTTTAATTAATAGTGACCACGAATAAAAAATCAAGCACAGTCAGTACAAATCTATTTCTAAAGAAGACTATTGAATTTACTTAATGCGAACGTGATTAAATAGCTTTCCATAAAGATTAACGATAAAAGGGATATTGTGAAAGAGATATCAATGATATTTTTAAAATATTTTTGTTGCGTACGTCTATACAACCAATAAAATTTTTTTGCAAAATTTAATTGTAACAGTCGTATTTTCTCCTCAAAATATATATTGCTTCGTCAATTTTACGAGAACATAAAATTTAAGGTAGATGCACGTCGTGTCTCGGGGGTAGTAGTTCGTGCCGTTAATGGCAAGCGATTGATTATTTCGTCCATTGGTGCCATTTGGGAATAGCATATGCGAGATACGACTGTGTCAACAGCATGCGTTAAAGATCCAGATGCGTCGTTGAATCCGCCATCTCGAATTTCTAATATATATATATGTATATCTGTTTGCAAATGAAAGGGACGTGTTACCCTTATCGCACCAGGTCGCTGTACAATTTGAAATTGTGCACTCTCAGCAGTGTCAAAATGTTTACGCAAACTTGCATATCATCGTTGATACAGGTTGCATTAATTCGATAACATGCTAGTTTGCGAGTATTACAACGTTCCTAAATGAAGCACCCATCGATAAAATATTAATCTACAAAATGCATTGGCGCGATGAATTCATTTTCACGTAGCGAATAAGCATATTACGCCACGTATTAAATGTTACATTTTCCGGAAAAATTCGTTCTCTCTCTCTCCGTGTATGAATATATATATTTTTTTTAATAAAAGAAAATCCCATTCGCGGAAACAATATGAATACTAAGTGTACACTTTTAGATGAGTCTTAGTAGTGAAAGCACAAAATTTCCATTAAAAGTGCGACGCTCGCGGGTTAAGCTAAAGATAAAAAATGAATACGGTTCATGATATTGCTGGAAGTGCAGTCGGTTTTATTTATTTTCAAAACTCCGCCGCGCCGTATTATCTCGGTCGAAACTGTGATACTTCGTTAAAGATGCACAAAAATTTGTAATTTGCATCCGGTAGTCCGTACTTTTAAGTAGGTTAATTCCTAGATAGTTTCGTATGCTGCGAATTTACTTCTTTCCTTCAAGTCTGTACATTAGGCTCTTTGTCGAACTTTTTATCTCCGTTCCTTAATGACGTCAAGAATATATTCTAAAGGAAATTTAAAATGCGACTTCGTTAATGAGATTGTAATTTGTAACGCGTATCACGGAAATAAATTACGAGGACACGGCGAAGAGTGAGATAAATTTCATAGTGACTGACGCATATTTAAGGCTACTTTAAAAGTACGAGTCCGGGCGTAAGTTTGACGCCGGTGGAATATCAAATAACTTCCAAACGACATGTACATAAATGTGATTAAGTTTACGATAAGAAAAAAGCTAGCCAAGAACCGTACGTTAATATATAAGAAATCTATATATATTGCGCAACGTGCAGAACGTCAAAGTAAAAAGCGTTGTGAAAGACGTGAAAGATTTTCTTCGAACGCGTGAGAACTAAGCTAAGAGTTATTATTCTCGTCGAAGCTTGTTTCACTTCCGTTACTGCAAAAGTCATATTTTACGGAACAACGCTAGATCTAATAACACAGTTCGAAGTTTTTACGCGGAAACGCATGTCATGCCCATCGTGAAATGCTCTCTCGCGGCCTCTTAAAAACTCCACGGTGTAGGGGTAATTTGTTCGAGATATGCAACGACTTGAAACCACTTTAACGTTCTCGTTAAAGTCCTAGACGCGGTTGAGAGAGCCTTTATAAATTACGGCCTCGTTATGTTCGTGAAATTAAAAATTGTGCGTACGCTCACCTCTCGGCGAGTTTCACAGGGAGTAGCCGCGCTGTTCCCACAAGTCTGTTCGTCACCACCTGTTACAAAAAAAGAAGAAGAGAGAACGTAAGTTAACAGGAGAGATAAAGGTAGTGTAGTGGCATGAAAAAAGGATCAGCCGTAAGGCGGGCTTATCCGGCGGCTTCGTTCACTGTGTGCCAGACTTTAATGTCTGATACGATATCGTCGACGTCTCGCATGAAAAAGCCTCCGTAATTTATCGAATTTTAAAATTTCGCCGAATTCAAGAAAGAAAAAGCGCTTTTCAACATAATGGTAAATACCGAATATGCTTCTTCAACTTGTGTGCATTAATCGTATAGTTTTTATTATTATAGTATCAACTAAATAAATTCAAAAAATTTATATAACAGAAAATAAAACACATTTGTATGAAATCCATGCTTAAACAAAGATGCGCGCGGCACAAAATTGTTTTGACATCTAGATATTTATTTCACAGTGCGAAGAAGACGTAGATTGGCACGTCGCGTTGTTGCGTCACGTATAACGTGCCCGTGGTAATTTCTCTCGCATTCAGCAAAAAATTAACCTCCGTGGCGTCGAGTTACCGGAACCAACGAAAGAAAAAAGAAATAAAACGGGACGACGGAGGGGCTAGTACGCGGAAGAAACTTACAATGGAATTTTCCGGGACGATCCGATTACATTCGCGTGCGACAGCGATGTGTGAACGCGAATTCAAGCGGCGTTTGCATGCGTAATACCCGCGTCGGATACGACTTAATTACACGGAGTGCCATCATAAACCCGCGTTGAATCATTGTCACAATCTTCTCGATTCGCGCCGGCCGGCGCCACACGAGCAATGGTTTACCGGCCGTTTCTATCGCATGATTTACGCCCGAATGTACTTTGCATTCCATTTACGGGGAAAGGGTGCGTGCGGCTTGCGCAGGGGATAATCCCCAGGTCCGCGGCCTCACAGTAAGCCCCATACATTACGCCTTATTTACACGCGTGTGACAAGTTTCTCGCCCTCTCGTTCCCGTGCCTCGATGCCCTCGATGCATTAGCGTTGCATTGTGCACGGAATTCGTCAGCGCACGGTTCGTTCTCTATTGCGTTGCGTTGCAATTAATATTCATAACTATGACCGTGTTTCGGCGTTCGATAACGCGCGCCCGACTGTGGGCGTAATCGGCGGCGTACTTTCTCACGCGCGACAAAATCTTACAAAGCTTAATTCTGTAGATATATTTCTTTACATTCACGATAATGGCGTATCGCGTTAATTTATATATGTACGGGTGATATATCGCAAGTTGCGCTAAACCTCAAAGGATATAGGACCTACACATGAAGAGGTAATAATTTATTTTTATGACGTACTGCAGCCGCGCGCGATAATTTTTTTGTTACGTCGCGTATCATAGTTAGAGAGAAAATAAATAGCAACGAAATAGCAACGAGTACGTAACTACCTTAATTGATGGTGGACATGCACGGCTTATACAATAATAAATTGTATTCTAATATGATTGTGAAATGTACCTGGAATTATAAAACTCGGATACGCGAGTAATTGCTTAGTTAACAAAGTTGCACATTTTTACAGCGCAAGGAAAGCGCACCAAAGTTGTGACACACTATTAATTTCTCTAACTTTAGCGCCATAATATCGCGCTGCAACAGTGTGCCACGTTTATAACGTTACATGGCTAAATAATGCTCAGCAATGTTGCAACGCACCGTGAAATAATGTAGTATAACAAAGCAAGCTATAACAAAAGCTTCTTTGTTTAAAACCATCTTAATTCTCATTACGTGGCGCAAATGCGGCCATTCGCATTATTAGTGCTATTATTTGGTGATTTACCAAGTTTCCAGACTTCATTAATATGTCAATCGATTTACTTGAAGAAAAAAAAATGTCAATATTAAGAAAAGTTAGTTAAAAAGTTAAGAAAAACTGTTTTCTATCATTATCGTTTTGGACTCGAATACTATCTTTTCGATAAATATAAGAATGCAGATCTTTTCAGCATCTTTGTCGAACTTTAATTTCCTTAGGTACTCTGCAATTATCGCTTACCTTGACATTCCTGCATTGTTATACTTGATACAACTTTTGAAGAACATTCTTTGCCAGAATAAAACTTAAATGCTTTACTATATACGTTATTTAGCTATATACGTTATTTAGCTTTGAATTTTCTTTATAAATTTAATTTTTTTATTATTTTGTCAAACATAAACTGTCATTAAAAAAATTTATAATAAATATTATATCTCTAATTAGAAATTATCGATGAGACAATAATACGTGATACACAACAGTGGGAGATAATTTTCATCATATCAAGCATAATTAGGTAAATTTTAAAATAATGCAGTAATATTTTAATATTTAACACGGTTCATAAATCTTCTTTTTATGAAAATTTAATGTGTCGTTTAATATTCAACGCTTCAACATTTTATGGGTGAAGCGTCCTTTTAATCAAACTTGCATCATTTCTTGCTTCGTGTTTTTTGATACGAGGTTTAGTTAAGGACGGATATTTTACATCGGATCGTACGGATTAATACCTCGACGTAACCTTTATAGTAATTAGAACTTCCTACGCTGGATAATCTTCCTGTAAAGGATCACGGTTTGACGCCTACCACGTACTGAACTTGAAGGGTGGATCAAATTTGCACACGTACGCAGGCACGTGCGAGGGCGTTTTGTTTGTGTGAATCACGTTTTCATACATACACGCGGCAAACGGAATTTGTACACCTGAATCCGCAGTTCGCAGGATTAAACGGTCGAGAGCCACGTACGCACGTAGTAACCAAATTTTGACAATTAAACGTCTACCGTCTATCGAGTGCGATCAAAAAGTCGAGGGCAATTATGATAAAAAAAACTATATATGATCTCTACTATTGGATTCTCATTTATATGGGGTATGAAATGTGCTAAAATAAAATACTGTATTTTGTGATAGGTATTCTCAGCAAAGAATTAATTATTAATCATTTTAAATTATAAACTAATAACTATTGTAGTATCAAACTCTTTACACACATTTAATATGTGCCAAGTTAAAATTAATATTTCTTATACCTAACATATTTGTGCTTTTTACATTGATTTTTGTAAACACATTATTTCCAGCTATGTACATCCTGCATTTCGTAATTCAATTAGCTTTAAATATATATTAATAAATTAAAGATAATGTTGTCAACTAAGTATATACGTTGAGTGAGTCATTGGATAGTTGGCATGCCGAAATATTTTCTAAACTGAAAAAAGCGTGAAAGCTTTATCTCCAAAAATAACAGGTCTACAATTGGTGTAGAATGGTCGTGAAATAACATCCGCACAGACAAACTTAAACGTTCCTGAGGTCTATAAGTATTTAACAAAATCCTTGAAAGTACCTTGTTAAAAGAACCAGAATGGGTTGAACGAATAGATAGAAGAGAAGCTATAAAATCTTTTGTAGAGAGAAGTTTGTAAGTTATTAGAAAGACTATGCACTCTGTAAAATCAACAGCTTCGTAATTTGTAATGGCATAATTTCTACGAAAATACTTGTACGGATTAAATTCCTCATATCACGGCAAATCTAGATTACTGTTATTATACAATTATTGTCCATACTATACGGAACAAAAGATTTCTATAATGGCAGAGGATTTTAGGTTTAAATCCATATATCTATACACATATATCCGTATATCTATCATTTACATGTGCGGTGTATTTGTAAAATCATATATTAATTATCCTGATAAATTAATAGCATAACCGATACGTATATCATAGGTAGTAACTAATTCCCAACGATCGAAGTCACATTGCGGTGAGAATGGCCACACGATAGATAAATAAATTGCAATAGATAACATTGGTCTAACTATAAATTGTATACACACACACATACACACACACATTTATATATATGTAATTTTCATGCTAACTAGTTAATCGCACCACAAGCGTGATCACATTGCGAAAATCGCACGTCTACAATTACTGTCGAATATTCTGTCAACATATCACTAAATCATAGCGTTCTGTTAGCGTAAATTATTATATAAAATATATTAACATTGTCCTACACTAATTTAAAAACTTATATACCTATTAATAAAACTATGATTATTTTTTAACTTCTAATGCACACAATGCCACTTTAAATAATTATCTTAATATTATTATAATATAAATTAGTGATACCTATGTATATTGTAAAAATAAATTTATACGAATAAAGTTAAATTCCCAAGTGCTAAGATGGTAAACTTAGAAACAACGTAGATACGTGCATTCGTACGTGACATTTCAATAAACAATGTTCTTATTTGTCAAACTACCAACCTAGATAAAACATTCTTTACGACATCGAGAACGTGATCGCCAAGTTCTCGACAACTCGAACGAACAAGAACTACCAACCAACGGCACGCTGTTGATTTGCAAACCGCATACAAAGTTTCACTTAGCACATCAACACGTTATGCGCTACACGCTATGCAAAACATAGTCCAACAACGTATTTTATAGAGACACGTTGGTATTGCAGAACATGTAAAATTGTTACAATAAAATTAATCATCCTTTTAAATCAAATTGAATGTCCGTGCTCTTACATTTACAGATGTATTTTTATTCTATATATTTCTGTTTAAACTGTTGTAAATAAATTAATGCAATAGTGTTCTAAATCGGCACTTTTCAAACTTTTACGTAATTTATTATTACTCTCCAAAAAAAATGTCTTTAAAATGTAACGATAACAGTTTAATTTGATTTTAGGTCGAATTAAATCCGTGCAGAATTATAAAAACGTAATTTAATAATAAAATTGTTATAATTTGATTATAAAAACGCAATGTCGAAAGCGTATATGCCGTATAAAATTATTTTATTCATACTGCATGATCGCAAACGTGCCCAAAATTGGAATCATGCGTCAAGATGGTCCGCGTCAGCTCGTAAGCCGCTAATGTGACAAAAGTCATAGCGTTTGCGTGCCAGAAAGAGGAGATGGCTATGTGGCAGATCTCGCTCGTT